CCTATAGAAATACTGGATTTCATGAGAAAACATGCCATTCAAATTGTTATACTAGTTTATTAGACATTTGAACAGGAGAGATGGATTTAAAGTCTAATCTTCAAACTATCAAGAATTCAAATATGAGAAAATCAGCTGTAATAAAATACAACTACTATCTGAAGAAAATAACAACAAATGATGTTATAAACAGTGGTAGTGGAAAACAAAAAGAACACCACACTTGTCTAAATGCAGAAAAATTTTATTCTTGTTCCCAGCTAACTCAATTCTACCCCTCTTTTGAAACTTTTACCGAGAATCTACCAGAAATTAAAATAATAATGGCAAAATAGGATACTACCTATCTTTATCTCACACACACACACACACACACACACAAACACACACACACACAGAGAGGAATATTACTCACCCATAAAAAAAGAATTAAATCTTGCCATTTGCAATAACATGGATGGACATAAATGGTATTATGCTTTATGCTAACTGAAATAAATTAGGAAAAGATAAATACCATATGATTTCACTTATCTTATTTTTAAAGATTTTAGTTTTAAGAAACCTCTACACTCAACATGGGGCTTTAACTCACAACCCCAAGATCAAGAGTCACATGCTCGGGGCGCCTGGGTGGCTCAGTCGGTTAAGTGTCCGACTTCGGCTCAGGTCATGATCTCATGGTTTGTGGGTTCGAGCCCTACATCAGGCTCTGTGCTGACAGCTAGCTCAGAGCCTGGAGCCTGTTTCAGATTCTGTATCTCCCTCTTTCTCTGACCTTCCCCTGCTCACGCTGTCTCCCTCTCTCAGAAATAAATAAAAAACATTAAAAAAATTTTTTTTAAAAAATGAGTCACATGCTCCACTGACTAAGCCAGCCAGGCAACCTCCATACAATTTTACTTATATGTAGAATCTAAAAAAAAACCAGCATAAACAAACAAACAAAAAACAGACTCTTAAATATAGAGAACAAACTGATGACTACTGGATGCAGTGGGGTGAAGATATGGGTAAAATAGATAAAAAGGATTATTTTATAAATAAGTCAGAGATGAAACACACAGTATGAGAATATAGTCAGTAATACTCTAATGTTGTATGAGGACAGATGACTACACTTATAATGGTGAGCACTGAATCGTGTAGAACTGTCAAATCACTATGTCGTCCACCTGAAACTAATATAACATTGTATACTAATTATACTTCAGTAAGAATAATGACAATGGTAATAACAACAACAAGATTCCACCTAGCCTTAAAAAGTTCACAATTGGGGCGCCTGGGTGGCTTAGTCGGTTAAGCGTCCGACTTTCGCTTGGGTCATGATCTCGCGGTTCGTGGGTTCGAGCCCCGCGTCGGGCTCTGTGCTGACTGCCAGCTCAGAGCCTGGAGCCTGTTTCAATCTGTGACTCCCTCTCTCTGTGACCCTCCCCTGCTCACGCTCTCTCTCTCTCTCCTAGAAATAAATAAAACATTAAAAAAAAAAAAAAGTTCACAATCTTTTGAATGTGATGTTTGAATGTGATGTTTAAAAAGTCACTACTTTTTTCCCTTCTGTCTAAATGTGAATAGTAAATGCCCATCCCCATTTCCCAAATGAGGTCCAAATGTGATGAGAAAGCAGTATGATAGGTTTGTGACAAATAAATGTAGACATAGATTTTTTTCTGATTTAACAAAACTATAAATGTGACACTGATTTCCTTACCAAGCAAATGGAGAAACCTATCATTTCAGACATGCCTACCATTTAATCCACCACATTAGACAGTCACTCCTGCCAAAGATAGCTCAGACATTCTGTTAGGTCTATCAAAAAAGTGATCTTCAGACCCCAGAATCCATTATCTCCTTAAGACCATGCTGTGGGAATGAGAGTCAGATCATTTTCATACTGCACTGCAGTTTTCTCTAATGACATATCTCTGAACAATACTTGTGTCTGACTACTTCATAACACTGAAATGGATGCAACGGTTTCAGAAGACTAATTGGAAAGTGGTAATCAGCATGCTTCCTTAAATCACAGTTTCCAACAGATCAAGAATATTTCCCCATCTTAAATCTTAAAACTCCTGCCAAAAATACTCATATGCCAGATACAACATTTCCCCATCTTAAATCTTAAAACTCCTGCCAAAAAATATTCATATACCAGATATGAAAAAAAAAACTTCATATCACTGATAGACCTGTACCACTCTGTAAGAACAATTTGTGTTGCTACTGAATTTTAACACATAAACCTTTTATTGTGTTAAAAAATGTAATCATAAAACACACCAAGCCCAAGTAATTTTCAAAATGTACCTAGTAATTTTTCAAGAATGAAAATGGAAGGGTGCCACAACCATAAATGTCAACTACAGCATTACAATAAGAAATGATCCGTTGGTACAACGCTGCCAGCCAAGTTCTAATACAAACTTTCACATCGATTTCTAATGACAGAAGTTAAAGAAATAAAATACACCACAAAATTTAGAAGTTGGGAAGTATAACAAATAAACATTATTTTTTTTTGGGGGGGGGGTTATGCATCTTTTAATTTGAATGTCAGCTTTACAGATGAATTTTTCTAATCATAGTATGCATTGAACCAAAATGAACCAAGCTACAGCATCCATTCATTTTTCTCATTCTAGGAATATTAGATTTTTCTTTACCAAAGTACATTTTTCCCCTTTCAGAAACATATCCTTTTTTAAAGTGACCATAAGCAATGAATTTCTATCCTACCCTTTCATTGGCAAATTGAGTTTATAACAAATAAACATTTAATGAACTCTTTATACAGTCAGTTTAAAGCAACATATTAAGCCATGAACGACATTTCACCACAGAAGATCGGCATATACTTTACAGCAGCCCAGCTCTACCCTCTACAGCAGCAAGCGCACCGCTTGTTAGTCTACAAGTCAGGAGACCGGGACGAATTCACTGTTGGTGAGAGGCTCTCCCTAACTCACTGGGCTACCTGAAGCTGCCAGTGTGGACACGCTAAATGTGAAGTCTGGTAAATGAGACAACTGAAACAGGATCTAACGTTCTTTTCCGATAAACACACTTTCAACAGGAGGATCAGTAGGCCAGGACTCCCGTAGACTGCCATCATATACGATTTAATCTTTATTTTCTACAGTTAGCCTTGATCTGTGTTTGACACAAACTAAGATGATGACTGTCCCAAACTACAAAGGTCTCCCCAAGAAATTATAACACATGCACCATCTGGGAATTGTTGCAACTCGCCAAATCACAGCGAACAAGAGCACAGCCCTCTGAACTCTGAATGCATTAGCGCTGCTTCATGTTCTCCCTTTGCCGAATTTCACAAATACATTATCATGTCTTAGCTTTATTAGCCAACATCTGACAGTGAATACAGTATTTTATTGGGTATTTCGGGGAAACACCATCTTAAGAGTTCAGGAACAGCGTAAAGCTAAAGAAAAGTAGGCAGTCATTGTAAACATCTGTAACAATATACCACGGCCCTTAATGTTTCTGCTAAAAGGGAGATTAAAGAAAGCAAATAATAAAGTAGAAAATAGGTAGGAGGTATAAGTTTCTGCAAATATTCTTGCAGTACGAGGGAAGGATCAATATTTTTTAAGACATGTTTTATCTAAGACAATAATTGAAAATTTTTTATTACCACACTGTAGTTCAAATCATCAGAACAGTGTGGACTCAGTTATAACAAGGTCATTTAGTATAGTCCCCAGTGAAAAGTAACTGGTGTAAATTGTTGTGCCAATTACCTACCACCTCTCCAGGGGAGCTAACTGCTAAAATGAAAAAAAAACAAATACTACCTAACAGAAACTTCACATAGTTTAGAAAATTATATTAACATACCAAGTCTGTGTTTTAAAAGTCTTAATTTCCAGAGACATAAAAATTATATTTCTACAGATCTTACATGTGTGATTGTACCCTATTTTCAAAAAAAAAATCTTTATATACATTAGTCTCACCTAATCTTCACAAAAAATCCTTTTAGGTGGCACAGTGAAAACTGCTAGGAATACGCAGGTAACTTGTGTAAGTCTATACGTACTTACATAACTTGACCAATAATCAAGTGGCAACGTCAAGATTAAAAACCTTGGTTTACTGTTATTTCAGAGTTAATAATACCAGTAATAGAAGTGTGAGTTTACAAAAAAGCATGAAGAAAAATATTGCCAAATGAAAATCTAATTATGTTCTGTTCACAAAGTAAATTACAGGGGTGGGATAATCATTCTTCTGGTAAGCAGAACTTTATCTTATCAAAAACATGAAAAAACAAACAAACAAAACCACTTCATTACCTTGAAGATTAACTTGTCACTCTTAACCATCCCAAATAAAGGTAAGAATGTATCATTTAAGAGAGGATTCTGAAAAGTCCCTGTCAGGAAGTCCTAGCACCAAAGTGTATAGAAAAATCCTGTAAACCCTCACTTAGAACCTATTTATTGTGGCCATCTCGTTTCTCTCAGCCCCTATAGATTAAAAGCTGCACCGACAGTATAAACTACAGACAAATCTAAGTGGGCAACAGGGCAGCCTAAGGGATGGAGGGGGTCTGACCAACACAGAAGAGACAACAGACTGCAGGGTCCCCCTGAGGGCCTCAAAGTAAAAGAACTATACTTATGATCTCAAGTCGTAAAGAAAATTAAGCCGTCTTTAGTGAAATCTAAATTTTAGGAAGGCAAAAAACTATAATACAATGAGAAAAGCTTTCTGTCAAAATTGTCTTGACTTATTCTTGATACTTAGAGCAGAAAGTCTAAGTTATCTGGAAAATTCTCTTGTGTTAGATACATATGCTTTTGAGTGTTGTGTATCTATTTTATTAATCTATTTCACCCAGAACCGCGCAAATACTTTTAAATGTTTTCTTTAAACATTAAATAATGTTTATTTTAAATGTTATCCAAGTGCTATTAATTAGAAATCACTATGACTGCCACTGAGGGTTTTGGTTCCAAGATACAAACCTACTGCAGCATGAAACTGAGATAAAGCATCAGCTAGCTGTCCAGCTGCAAGTAATTTCTTGCCCAATTCAAGATGTTTCTCAACATCTGCATTTACTCCACATTCAGCACCTAAAAACAACAACAACAAAAGTCAGTTAACTTTCCATGACCAAGATTCAATTCTGAATGTTTAAAATACAGTTATCTGCCTCAGGCATTTGCTCAAATAAGGAGTCACATAAGCTAAAGAGTGACAAAGAAAAGGTAACAATACAGCACAGTGCTTCATTTTATAGCACAGAAACCACCCAAAAATACACCCTGGTCATATCAAAAGAATGTAACCAGTCTCCAAAATAGAAGGGAAACTGCATAACCCAGTTGTAAAAACACATCAAACAACAAAATCAGAATTCCTTTGTTACACTAGAATCTCACTTTAATGGGTATTGTCATCAAGTCCACACCAATATTCAAGTACTAATTAAGCATCTACTATTGCACCAGGCACCATTCTAGGTATTTGGAATAAGTGAGCAAAACACACACACACACACCTCTGCCACTCACAGCACCTGACTTTATGAAGGAAGGAGACAGACATGAGAAACACATAAACTACATAGAATATTATGTGAGAAGTACCATGGAAAAAGTCAAGCCATGTGAGGATGCCAGAAGTGCTGGGGCTTTCAGTATTAAAGAACATGGTCAAGGGTGGGCCTCATGGAGAAGCTGATATCTGGGCAATGGAAAGGAAGGAACTCATTAGGCAGATATGCAGGGGAAAAAATCTTTCTAAGAGGAATCAGCTAGTGCAAGGGCCCTAAGTCAGGAGAATGCCAGCTTATGTTCCAGAAGCAGTAGAGAGACCAGGATGGGTACACCAGAGCCAACAAGGAAAACAGTAATATAAGATGAAGTCTGGAAGCAGATGGCCTGACTACATACACCTTTGCTTTCAGTCCGGGTAAAATGGGGAGCTCATGAGGAACAGATAGAATGACCTGATCTGACTGACGAGGCAAGTTATCAGTGTGCTACCTCTATCCTCTGAATTCATCCTTTAGTACCTGGCTTTAAAAATGGACTGGAGTTTTTAAGCATTTCTTCTTTACGTTGAGCACAATATTACACTCTGTCACAGTAAAAGGTACCGAAGGGGAACTGCAGAAAAGACACCTTCAGGGTCTTGTTGCTATCGTTATTTTGTTCTGGTTCCCACTGCATGGTGCATGGGGTAAGGATATCCAGCGGTTCCCAGTCCTAGCCATATGCCCCTGGGTCCAGGCCCTCAGCAAGCGGGCGGCCCTGACCAGGCACTACTTCCAATGAGGACACCATGCACTCCAGGCTTCAGGCCCACACATAGCACCCTGACTCCCTGCACCCCACACAGCCACACACACAAGCTGGGCTCACCTATACCTGAGAGGGTTATTCCCACTGTATTGCCCAGCTACAGTGGACCAGCTCTAAGTCCCAGGAACTCAGCAAACTTTTCTATCAGCAACTTTAGGTTATACCCATACCTTCTCTACTAAGGTCTAAACCCAAGACTTGAGTAGGGGTTCCCCTTCAAATTGGCCCTTCTTTGGGGACCATCTTTTAGCCCTAGAGTATCCTTTAACAGCTCTCTTTACATCTTTATAGTTATTCTATCAGAGCTAAACAATTCTTTATATTGTTATATTATATTATATATATTATATATATATATTATGTTATATTATATTATATTCCCTCTTTTAAGTTACTCTGTGGTTTATTTTGCCTGAATGGACCCAGACTTACATACAGTTGGCACTGGGGAATGGTCCTAGCAGACAGACCCACAAAGACAGGATTTGAGGACTGGCTTGGTAATGCCCTTGAGCTTGAATGCAGTGCTGAGCTCATTGTCAACGAGAAATAAGATGTCAGTAATCCATAGCAGGTATTAGAATCAGAATTAATCAAGATACCATTTGTGGTTGACAGTAATGCCATGCTAACTGGAAAACTGAGACTATTTCACTTGACCCCAATAACAGTAGTGATGAAGGTAAGGACTGTGGTGTGGGGGGTTCATTTGAGTGCACTCAGCTCGAACCCGCAGCTCAAGTCTCTGTGAGGTTCCGTGTCAGCCCTAACACAATCTTACTTTTGGTGGTCACACAGCTGATTGAGCTGAAAATCTAATACAAAACTAAATGTAATGTGTGTAGAAGGGTGCGTATGGAAACTAAGAAGCTAAAGCATTTCTCATTTACGGTGAGCATGATGCTAAGCTACTCAGATGTTTAGAGTGAGGCTAAACAGACAGTTCCCTGGGAAAAAAAATCAGAACAGTCATCACTCAGGAAGATGAGAGAAAGGAGACTGGGAAGGGGCAGAAGACAACCTTCTGGGGTGACGACAGTGTTGTAATCTTGACAGAGGTATGGGTACTCAGGGAGGTGCAGTTATCAAAACCCAGCAAACAGACACTTACAATATGGGCATCATCCATACATTTACACCAAAAAAAGCTGTTGATGATATGCATATTAAAGAATTTAGAGAAATTTGTACAAATACGATCTTGAAATATATGTATTCATATTTGTGTATTTATTTTGAATTGGGAGAGGGAGAGAGAGAGGGAAAGGGAATCCCAAGCAAGCTGCAACTATCACCGCAGAGCCCCATCCAGGGCTCGATCGCACAAACCATGAGATCACGACCTAAGCCAAAATTAAGAGCCAGGTGATTAACCGGCTGAGCCACCCAAGTGCCCCTTCAAATATTTTTTTGAAAAGAATTAATGGGTAAATAGAGAAATGCCCAGATGAGTATGTATTAAAACCAAGAATGGTAATTATATTAATGGCAGAATCCAGATGATGGATATAGGAGCATACACTATAAAATTCTTTCAACTTTGTGAAATGTTTAGTGATAAAATTTTCAGAAAATATATAATATGGTGTTGTGATGGGGGCATACACACAGGGTGCTATAAGGGCACAAGTTAGGGGGCACCTAACACCCATAGTTAAATAAAATGTAAAATTCAGGGCACCTGGGTGGCTTAATGGGTTGAGCGTCCAACTCTTGATTTTGGCTCAGGTTGTGATACCTGGGTGATGGGATCAAGCCCTGTGTCGGGCTCTGTGCTGAGTGTGTGTGGAGCCTGCTTAGGATTCTTAAGATTTATTTTTTTTTATTCTTTCTTTCTTTCTTTCTCTCTCTCTCTCTCTCTCCCCCTTTCCCTCCCTCCCCCCTTCCCTCCCCCTTTCCTCTCCCCTGCTCTCTCAAATAAAATTTTTTTTTAAATGAAAAAAATTTCAATTTTTCAGTCACACTAGTCACAGTGTAAGTGCTGGAGAGCTATTGGCTAGTACAGGAAAGCAGTGCAGAAAATACAGAACATTTCCCATCATCAAAGAAAGTTCTACTGGACAGCACTGAGGAGGGTTTTACTAAGTATCACCTGAAAAGCAAAGGGAAAATACCACCCACGTGAAAAAACCTTAAGAGGGAGAAAACCCAACATTCCAAACACCAAGAACATCACATTTAAGTGCCCAGAAGGAAGAGAATTAATGAGGCCTCAGAGAAATTAAAGTCCTACATTTCAGCTCTCCCTCCTCTCCATTATGATTTAATTATTCTGGAGTGGGTCACTTTAAGTGCTAGGTGAGTCTCATAAATAGCCAGCAGGTAAGAGGGAAACCATAAGGTAGCCTGTTAAAATAATCCAGGTGGCTTGACGGTGATGGAAGTGTGGTGTAGCAGGCGTGGGAAGGAGTAGCTTGCTCAGAGGACTAGAAGAGAGAGAGAGGACTACACGTGGCTTTCGGTGACTGTCCGGATATGCAGGGCAGGTGAAGAAAGAGCAGGAGTGCAGGGCCCCGAAAATCCACAGCAACGCGAGCAACTGTGTGCGCCTGCGCTGCAGTCATCAAAAGCAGCTGCATTCCTGACGTCCTCTAATAGAGCAAAGAGCTGAAAGAAATGCCCTTTATTGTGCTACTTGCCCTACTAAACAAATCAGCTTTTTTCAGCTTCCAGTGTTCCTAGTTTCTATGCGGTGTCTTACTACCTTGGCGCCTGCTGGACCCTTCCACACAAGGAAGAAAGGGAAGGGGACACAGGGAAGGATAAACCTTAACTTGATGGCCTCAAAAACTTAGAGTCCTGCAGAGCTCTGTTCGGGGCAACAATGTGAAGATGTCTGCCTTATTTAATTAAGAGTGTATAACATGTAGAGAAATTAGTTGGAGGTTTCAATGGACTGGGAAAGCATTATTTTCCCCTTTATTTTTTTTTAATGTTTATTTATTTATTTTGAGAGAGAGAGAGGAGAGAGAACTAGGGCAGGGATGGGGGTCGGGGAGGGGGTGGGGGAGCATTCCAAGCAGGCTCTGGGCTGTAAGAACCAGGAGATCCTGACCCGAGCCAAAATCAGAAGTTGGACATCCAACTGACTGAGCCTCTCAGGTGATGAGGGAAACAAAGGCAGAAGGAAATGGCAGATAAAATTAAATTTCCTCATAACCTGCAGCCCATTAACAACTACTTAAGGCAGGCGGAGTAAAATGTTTCTCCAGGAACTCCCTACTGTCTTTAAGCTAATGCTTTCCTAGAGGGAAAAACAACCTTAGCTTGACAATAGCTACGCCTCCAGTATCCTGTGAATCTTCCTTAGCAGATGAAAAGCTCCTTGGAAACTTCCCTTGGACCTTACCTCCCACAACTCCCAACTATACAACCAATCTCTCCACAGGGTCCGGGGCGGCTCTTCTGCCCATGGGACCTCTCCCTGTGGTGTTAAAAAAAAAAAAACACTTTTCTGAACCAAAGACGTCTTCAAGAATTCTTTCTTGGCGGTCAGCTCCAGACCCCACAAACCCCACTATCACCCCAAAATCTCATCACCAGGCACCCCTATTTTTCCCTTTACAAATGAGAATATAGGTTCTTGCTCTGAAAATTTACTACACAATGACTCAGAAACCAGTTATATTCTGATAGTAAGGATCACCTGTGGTCCCACCTAACTCCATACCATATCCAAAAATATAACCTGCTTTTCATAATGGAGACTATGGAAACCAATGTATTTCATTAAACAAATGTTACTCAATATATGTGTAAAACTGTGG